AAACACTAAACCCTAAACCCTAAACCCTAAACCCTAAACCCCAAACCCCAAACCCTAAACCCTAAACCCTAAACCCTAAACCCCCTTGCAACCGGACGGGATCCAGAAGTCCGGTGGGAAGCCCCTGGCATGCTCGGGTTTACGGTTTAGGGTTTAGGGTTTAGGGTTTAGGGTTTAGGGGTTAGGGTTTGCTTCTCTTTCACTTCTCAGGCCGGAGCCTCAGCAGTCCTGGTTCAAAGAAGGGTTTAGGGTCTAGGGTTTAGGGTTTAGGGTTTAGGGTTTGGGGTTTGGGGTTTGGGGTTTGGGGTTTGGGGTTTGGGGTTTGGGGTTTGGGGTTTGGGGTTTATGTAGGGCTTCGGGTTCATTTGGTGGCGCCGCGAGATGCTTTAGCCTGTACATGGTTTTCGAAGCAGATTGCCGCGAGCCCTCGATTCCAGAGTGTGGGGACTATTGTCTATGCAACACCCTCCTAGACTCTTGAAACCCTAGAAGCCCTACACCCTAAACCCTAGACAACCCAAACCCCAAACCGAAACCCTAAACCCCAGAAACCCTAAGCCCTAGAAACTGCCCAAACCCGAACCTTGGCTCCTGTGAGGAGACGGACCTGACCCTGACCCTCCTCCGATGGTGAGAGGGCGTTTAACCGGGCGTTTTAGGGTTTAGGGTTCAGGGTTCAGGGTTTAGGGTTTAGGGTTTAGGGTTTCGGGTTTAGGGTTTAGGGTTTAGGGTGTGATGAGGTCAGAGGCTTTTGGGGGGTTCTCGGGTTTCTGAGGTGCCAGTTACCACTATTTGCTTGAGAACCCCCCCCCCCCCCCCACAAAAATGAAGAAGTACTCTTCCCAAAATGGATAGTATAGGGATTCTTATCTAGTCTTCCTAAAAAGGGTAGTACAGGGATTCTTATCTTCTCTTTTTTGGGGAGGAGGGGGGGGGGGGGTCTTTGAAGCAAGTAGTAGCTTGTTGTGGCCTCTGGAAGACAGTTGGTCTTCAGAGATGGTCCGCCTGAATGTGCTTGGCGGTTCATGGGTACTTGTAACACCAATTTTATATCTGCACTTGTCAGCCCTCTAAGTCCTTTAGGTAGGGTAGAAGTAGACTTAAGAATTTGGGCTTAGAAGTGCCCATGAACCTCCAAGTACGTGTGAGGAGTCGTAACCTTCGAAGCCCAGTGGTACCCTTTACTGGGCCACCATAAGTAACGCATGGGAGGTCGTCTTGTAGGCTATCCTTGGTATGTCCCCGTCGGAACATACATCCTCGGCTCCAGGTTTCCGAGCTCTCTTCCTTTCAAGTCTGCTCCCTGGATGCCATTGCCTCTTTGGGATGTTCCCCCTTATACCAAGAGCCCGCTTTATTGGGATTCGAATAGGGGGATGCTATAGTCCCTATTGTTCCTCAATAGGGGCTCTAATAGGGGGTACTGTAATCCAGAGTAATCCTTACTCGGGACTATAAAAGGGGGTACTCTCCTCCCTATTAATCCTTAATAGGGATTCTAAAAGGGGTTTAGGGTTTAGGGTTTAGAGTTTAGGGTTTAGGGTTTAGGGTTTAGGGTTTAGGGCTATCATCCCTCTGAAGGACTGTCAGTATAAGGGGGGAACACATCCCTAAATTGCCTCTGGCGAAGCCAGAGAAGCAAACCCAGCTTGCCGATGTGCGAGCCCGTGCTCACAGGTTTAAAAAGG